ATAAAGTACAGCACATAAGATGAGTACAATCGTTGAAATCATTATCATAACTATTAGTCCAGTCTTTACGCGATCTATGGTCTCATCACTCGATTCACGAATTCTTGCAGTCGTTGAGGGAGTCGTCGACTCGAGAGCAAAGATCACACCAATTATTGCCATCATATGAACCAAATTTATAGATATTATCTTCATTTTAATGATTGTTTTTATTTGCAAATGTATGACACAAACCTTTCTGAAAAATCTAATAAATTCAATTTTATATCCAAATTCAATTTGAAATAATAATTGAATTTTAAATTGAGTTTAATTTAAATCACAAAAATATAGCAACAATTGGTAATTATTTATAATATATATATACATGATATAATTATTTATACATGATATTTCTTTGATTACAATTATTATTATTATTATATTTATTCAATTACTTCAACTTTAACAATAGAGAGATGCTAACTTTTATAAAGAATTGGATAACCGCAACAATTCATATTCGACAAGTGTGTTTACTTGTGAAATTTCAACCACAACAATGGCCGAAGCTGGTTTTTATTCACTCGGACACGTTGATTACGTAAAGTGTTTTGAGTGTAAAAAAGTACTATATAATTGGGTTAATGTGGATGAACCTTGGGAAGAACACAATTAACATATGCCTTATTGTCCACATGTTCAACGGAATAAAACACAAAATTATATCCGCAATGTTCATCTCCGTCTACAAGAAACTGAACAGGAAGATTATCAAGGGTATGATGTGTGGCCTGAGGATTCAGATCGGGATTAGCCATATCAGTCATCATGGCCATATGTATTTATGGAAGATTCCATTGTACAAGAATTTCTTCGTTTAGAACTTGTTAGTGAATCAATATTAATGCAATTACTCATGGATAAATACTATAAAGATGGTGAAAATTTTACATCATTTGCACAATTATACGATGCCATCCTAGGCTTTTGATCAGGGAGCAACCATTCGCTACTTTGGCTAGCATCTTCAGGGTCATATGATTTTAACCATGTTTCATCGATTCCAATTATTTTATCTAGAAAACCAGATTCCTTTTGATACCTTGCAAGATGTTTTCCCGCAATATTATGTCGTACTTGTTTTTGTCGTTGTGTGAGTTCATGCGGGATCCACCTTGACTTTAATTTTTTTGCCTTTAATTCGCTTAATATTGTTAATAAACTTGTTTTTGGTATTCCGGTTTTATACAAAAGGTCGTTTGTTCTCATACTATCACTCTAGAATAAGTTGTTTTACTTGTTCTTTCATTTCTTGAGTCGTTGTCTCAAGTGGTTTACCTGATAGAGGTAAATCACATATATCTGTGCGGTTTCCACCCTTAAAATCATACCAATATACACCGATTTTTCATTCAAATGTTTGTGGCCAAACAGTTGCTAGCTGACTGGCAAATACCCTTGGAGGGATATTAAACAACACATATCTTTATAAACGTCCTCTGTTCTTCACGTGAAACACTCGCGAAGTTCTTGCAAATTGGGCAAATCGGGTGCATTGACATTTTTTAATGCCAAAAATAAAAGGATTAATTTAACAAAGTGATACTCCATTATTACGCAGAAGACAAACAACTGAACATATATAAACATTTACTTAAGAATATAAACTAATAGATAAGAATTATCATAGGGTTCAAAGTTTGTAAAGACTTTCCGTTCAATGTAATAAATATGTTTTAAAATGGAAAAAGCAATTTCATTACTAAGAAAGTTATTTTAAATTGGTTTCTAATAGATTCAATAATAAAAATAAAAATACATTGTATTTATTATTAATTTTTATATAATATATTAATCACGATAAGTTTATATTTACCATAAATATTATACATTTATATAAAATAATAATTAATTATTTAAAACCAACTGTACTGAAAATGTTTAATTGCAATAGATTAAATTAATAAATCATTAATTTATTAAACAATAAATGTGAAATTCGCAAATATTGATAAAGATTTACGATATTTTAGTTTATTGCATTTATAAGGGGTTTTCATAATATCTGCCAGGTAAAATTAATATCTAAAATACATTTAAGTCGGAAACCAATAAAGATATCGAAAAGATTTTTAAACCTCAATAATGGATTTTAGTTATATGTATTTATAAGAAACCACCACTAGATTTGAGCATCGGTAGATCGACACAGGTAGGTTTTCTGTACAGCAATAACTACATGTCATAAAGAAACAATCAGCACGGCGTTGGAAAGAGCATAAAAAATGACCGAACCCATCTATCAGGATTTCCCTGGTAATTGTATCATTAAGGGGCAGGGAGGTGCGGTAGATTATAATATTGAATAATATATAGAATAGAAGAAATTATAAATTTGACTTAATCATCAAATTGTACTCAAAAAGTAGATAATATTTCCATTTTAAACCATTATGATATCTTAAGAAATAACTTATGTAGAGCACTTTAAAATTCATTAATTATACAAATCCAGCAAAATTGTTATAAATTTCAAAATGCTCTAGCTCAAGTATTAATTGAGACAATCCAAAAATTCCAAATTGAAATGTTATTCATATTTTGAGTAGTTTTAGTTGGTTTGATATTTATTGGTATCGAAATTTTGATAAATTTGTTTTGGTTGTAAACCCAAAATTTGATCAAAATTTCGATATACCGCGGCTCTTTGTATCTTAATGATACAATTACCAGGGAAATCCTGATAGATGGGTTTGATCACTTTTTATGCTCTTTCCAACGCCGTGCTCATTGTTTCTCTATGACATGTAGTTATTGCTGTACAGAAAACCTACTTGTGCCGGCCTGCCGGTGCTCGAATCTAGTGGTGGTTTCTTATAAATACATATAAGAAAAATCCATAGTTGAGGGTTAAAAACTTTTTGATATCATTTTTGGTTGCTGAATAAAATCTTTCTTGACAGATATTATGAAAACCCCTTATAATATCTTAATATATTACTATATATCGTATTTCATACTAAAATTACAAATGTAAAATTAATCTTACAGTGTATTAAACTGTATGTTGATAATTAATAATAAATTTCATAGTTATTTTTACCATATTTAATGTATTAATAAATGTTTATTAAATGTATTTCATATAAAGCCATAAAATTCAGTGTGAATTTCTATTACCATAAAATTAAATGATTAATTAATATCACTATTTTAACACAGTAGATACATATATGCTTATAATTTTGACGACTTACAAAAGTATATAAACACCATGAACAATTAAACAACGCTCATTAAGGTTTGACTACTGTAGCAATTTGCACTTAATTTGTAAAAATGTGGTCAACCAGGTCAATCCTTTTGACATTTGTTGTCCTATGCATTGTGATGATCAATGGCGATCCACTGAAGCCTATGCCCAAAACAGCCGAACTTCCTATTGGAGCTTGTAAGTTCTAGCATAAACCATTTTGTACAATATACCTTACTATGTTTAATTGTCTTATTTCAATAGATGATGAAGGGTGTATGTGTGGGGCGGTTGGTCATCACTGCGGGTCACGTGTGGCTACCGGGCAATTACACGGCCTCTGTAGCCCTGTACTGTACGAGTGTTTGGTAGGGGAAAAGGTGGCCAGGTATATCGGCGATTGCACCATAGACGGAGTGCCTGGCAAGTGTACGGAGGGTGATTTCGGACAGGATAAATGTAAGCCTAAGCATATATAGTCAAATTTCTATTTTAAACTTATTTATAAATATAAAAGATTTGCTTTAAGATTAAGAATAACGATATTACACACTGTGCGTGGTAATGTTCATAAGTTATTCTTGCAAAAAATAAATTATGATTAAATTGTGATTAAATTAAATATTGTAATATAGAAATTACTCTCCAATCTTCTATATTACCGGTGAGTAGGGAGTTGTACTAATTTTATTAGTATTAATATTATTATAATAATTAACACGAATTAAGAATAAATGCTTTATTGGGCACACATTACACATATAAACCCTTGAAGTTAGCACTTTCAGGGCTACAGCACAACTCTCCTTAGTATTAGGTTTACATAGTGTTATATAAGTAAAAGAATTTTTTCTATTGGTTAGGGCTTAGTGGGAGGGTTTTACAGTAAATGGGAGCTATGGGCGGGAATATCTGGTAAGATATTACAATATTTCAAATTAACAATATTTTTTAATAAACGTAACAAGGTAATGATCCATGCATGTGCGGCAGACAAATGGGCAAACACTGCGGTTCTCGGGTGGGCACGTATTTGTCGGGCACCTGTAAGAAAGACGGCTATTACTATTGCGAATCCGGTTATATGGAGCCGGCTTACCACTCAAGGGACTGTCCTGAAGGCATATGTTTTACTGACAACGGAACTGGTAGAGATATATGTCCCTAACGGTATAACTCATTTTTCGAGCAAAAATTGAAATCAATTTCATAAATATTGTCATTTAGATAAAATACCGGACTTATGATAAATGATATTGTTTAAAAGATATAATTTAATCAGGATTACAAAAAAATTAAAATATAAATTATATGATTAGTTTAAAATTATAATTAATTAGTCAAATGTATTACGGTTATACAATATAATTTTCAATAAAAATTTTTATGATTATCAATCAGTTGTGTTAATTTATATGAATTTTATTTTACATTGTCTAGGAGGCCTTTCATGGCCTGGGAGACAAATAGTCAAAATTGAGCCTGGCCAGGAGGGCACTGGGAGGACAAAAAATAATAATGTTTAATTATTAATATTGCTATTATTTTTATTCCAAATGGTCACACTAAATTTAAACCTAATTACAATTCCTATTGAATACACTATTTATTATAATCCTAATAATTTTCCTAAATTGTTTAACGATTGGCCACAAACAAACAATCAATTTTCATGAATTTCAAGAAATAAATTGAAAATTAAAAAATATTTTACACTAATTTTGACAATTACTTCTGGAAGGACATTACGAGGGTCTTAGGAAGACTGTTTTTTGAGGGCCCGATTGGAGGACAATCCTCCAACTGGAGGGCGTTTGGTAACCCTAACTAAGAAAGAAATTTTTATATAAATATATTAATAAGATTTAACCTGAACAAATTATTCTTTATACATCATTTTTCCATAACATTAAAATTTAAACCAGAATAACTTATATAAAAAGCGGCAAGGTCCAATTAATTCCTTATTAGATTTATTGTGAAGTTTATTATGAATGTTATAAAGTAAAATGCTATATTTAAATTTCTAACACTTCAACAATCTTACATATAATATAATTGTGCATTTCAATTTTTATAATCTTAAAAACCGAATTTCAAACAACAATAAAAATTTTACACTTATTACCATAAAATAATTTATTATTCGATAAGAAAATTTCCGTATATAAGTCTAATCGTTTTATATAATTCACATAATCACAAAATATTTCAAAAAATGTTTTCTATGATATCTAAGTTATTATTAACATATTGTTTGTGTTTGTTATATTTTTGTAATCAATGGAAAATCAAGTTTTATTGAGAATCCTACTACAGGTAATTTAATTATAAATATTTTTACTAAATGCAGTATGTTAGCTATGCCTACCTTTTATTAAATTAGCATGCAAATGCCTAAATGATAACATTGAAGGCAAATATTGTGGATCACGTCTGGGTCGAGAATTATATGGTAATTGTGAGACAAAAGGATTGTACAAGTGCGATAAAATTGGACAAGCACATTTATTATTTAGCTGCCCATATTGTGTAAATGATGTACAGGGTGGAGACTTTTGCGTTTACTATTATTCCGATCTTGATGATGCGCCAATATTTATGAATTTGTAACTAATATAAATTTATATATTACATGAAACAGAAAGTCCGTGGAATTTTTATCT